ATATATATATATATCAAAATCACAAATAAAATGAAATGAAAGGCAGCAGAGAAGAAAAAATCTTATATCTGCTCCTTTTTCTAGAATAAGTTCATATAACAAAAAAATCTATGTTATTAACAAAACAAACGACAAGAACATCTAATCCCTCAAACACAACTATTTATATAGATACACCTTATACTGTTTTGTATTTCTGTAGCAATCCAGCTTTTATCATTTTCTTAAATGATTGTTCATTGGAATTAAAACCCTGAAATAAGAAAAAAAAATGAGTCAAATCAAGTATTTCAAGAACCTTACGAAGTAAAATGTTCTTACTCCACTGGCAGAAATTTTTGACTTAATTTGAGTCAAATTTTCAAACTAACAAGACAAATAATCTTACACACTCTGAAAACAAGATGATTATTCTTACACAGTCAGTTCTTGTTTAGTAAATCAGTCTGAAAACAAGATTAAAAAGACATTTTGGCTGATATAAGGTGTTAAAACTTGGTTAGATGAACAGTTTTTGCAGTGTAAACACACACAGTGTGGATGATGTTTTTGTCTAAACGACCTGAAAATGTGTGATAATCATCAAACATGTGTTGAAGCTATAAAGCACAAAGAGAGTAATGTCAGAATTGTTTCATGTTTGTCAGACTTCATTAAACATGTATAGAATAATCATCAACTGGGTATTTTGTGTTCAGACATGTTTCTTTTTTTAGATTTGGAAAATGAAGCAGCTTTGATCGTCAAATCAAGACTTGAGCATCTGCCTCTTTGTGGCGGTGAGTCTCCCACTTGGCAGATGCTGTCGGCGCAGAGGACTGTGCTGGTCACCTGGGTGTGGAGGGGCTGATGGAGCCTCAGAGCCTCCTGATCCTCCCATCCCTCATCCCCAGTAATGAAATTCAGATCTGGCCTGAAGCAGGCAGATGGGCTGGGGAAGAGAGGGACGTCTAGGCATTGTTGTTGGGGTTCGTTTTGCATGAAAAGTCATAAACGTGATGGTGGTGAATAAACGTGTATTAGACCAGTGTTTCCCAAAGTTGGGGTCGGGACCCAAAGTGGGGTCCTGAAACATCAAGGTGGGGTCCTGAAAAGATTTTAGGAATTAATGACATTTTTGCCTTAGTTGTTACAAAGGAGTGAGGTTAGTGTATTTAAAATAGATAAATGTAGTATAAAAATATTGTTACTATGCTCGTGTCTAGTTGACCCGATACAAATGTTTATCATCCAAAAACAGTTGGGGGCACAGGTCTCTGC